GCGGGCGGCGGGCGGCGGCTCCGGCGGCGCCTCGGAGGAGGAGGAGCGCGACGGCGGGGTGCTCTTCCTCGTCAACAAGAGCGGCTTCCCCCTGGACGGGCAGACGTGGGAGCGCATGTGGGGCCACGTGGAGCGCGTGCACCCCGACGGCAGCGCCGTGGCCGCGGCCATCCGCAGCGCCGCGCGCCTCGCCAGGGTGAGTGCGCGTGGGGCGCCGCGAGTGGCGCGCCCGGAACGGGGCGGCTGTGGGTGCGGGGGGCGCCCCGGCAGCGGGGACGGGGTGCGGGGCACGAGGAGGAGGAGAAGGGGCTCTTGTCCTTTCTCCTGTTTATCCATGGGGGCGAGGAGAAAGCGGGGAGAAAAAAATAACAATAGAATATAGTCGGCAGGTATCCCTGCTGTGCTCCRTTCAAAGCACCTAGCTCAGCTCCGTGCAGCTCCAGCGGTTCCGAAAACGCCACCTCGCCTCTGAAACAACTTATGGGGCTCTACTCGTTTTCAGTATGTTCAAAGAAGCCCTTTTGTTTCATACATTTTTATTCTGATCAAACATGTTACTCTGTTCAAGCTGCCAAACAATTGTTTCCTTGTTTTTATTATTTATTTTTTTATTTCACCCAAATAAGATACTTTTGCGTGCGGTTGTTCCAAGGCTTTTCCGCCGCTCCGCCTGGTGCGTGTGCCGGCTGCGGCATGCTGATGGCAGCAGCAGCAGCAGCGTGTTTGCCCTGTCTGCCTGGGCAGACTTGGGGCTTGACCCGCTCCCCCGGCACCGCAGCGTCAATCTGAAGTCGGAGCAGGATCGTAGCATCCCTTTCTCCCTGGGGTGAGATGGTCTGGGTGGTGTGTTCGCGTTTCAGGATGTCATTGCAATATATGGCTYTTTTTTCTTTTYTTTTTCTCTCCTTCCTTCCTTGGGTTAGGAAGGATATATTGTGTGTGCAGAGAGCTGGCAGTGCAGGGTCGTATAGTGAAGGCACTTTGCAGATGCAGTGCAAGCAAAGAAGGATTTTTGTCTGTTCTGCAGTGTCTTTAGCTCAGTGTCGATGCAGAAGAGGCATCTCTGCTGTCTCTGCTCCTGCCTCTTTGCGTGTATGGGAAGCAGCCTTTGTTTGGGCGAGGGAACTGATCCAGCTGAAGAATAACCATTTTCCGCAGCGTTTGCTCCCAGCTCCCTGATGTGGTTGTTCTCGTACTCGCACAAACTGGAGGGGGAGGAGAGGGCAGGACCTCTTGTCCCGGCAGCACTGGCAGCCTGCGCTCGCTTGGGCACGGRTCGGCTCAGCGCCGCAAGAGCGCGGTGTGCTTGGCTTGCTCCCCTGCTTTGCGGCTCCCGAGCACGTGGCTTTTCATGTCCGTGGGGACCGACAGAGCCTCTGGGGAGAGACGTGGCTGTGACCGAGTGCGGTGGTGCCGGGACAGAGGGCCAAGAGCAGCGCCCATGTCGGCGCCTTCGGCGTTGAAACACAAAGTTACCTTTGGAATAACGTTGTGAAGTCTGCTTGATTAAGCTGCTGCCTGGCTTTGCAGATTCTCCAAAAGTTGAATGACTAATTCTTCATCAGCACAAGCTGACGGAGAGGAATTACGTTGTGGCTCTTCCACCACTGGAATGCAGGAAGCTCCCACTGCAGAATGATTAGCTGCTTTGAGGGCAAAAGTTTCTCCTCTGACTGGTTAGGTTTTGCTGGCCGAGCCTGAGCCCTGCTCAAGTTTGAAGGCTGCCTGGTGCCTGTTAAAGACAGCAGAGCTCAGTAGCGGGGTGAATGGTAAGAGCACGTTTGTTTCCTGCAATGTGGCGCTGAGTTGCTGAAGTTGCAGTAGTCATTCTGACCCAGAGAAGAAATATGAGGGGAGAGTCGTGTAAATCAAGGAACAGCTTTTTAACAGACTCCTGCTGGTGCCTGTGCTGCACCCTGCAAAAGATGGGTGGTGGTACCGGGGCGGGGAGAGAAACTGCTGCCTTGTGCTGGTGTTTGGGAAGGGAGCCTTCAGTTCGTTTGCCTTGGTAGCTGGTGGAGGCCGAAAGGGTCACGTGTGCAGCTGCGCTTTTTGGTTGGGATCTGTCTTTAATCCCTGGTGACAGGAGGCAGTTTTGATCCCTTCCCCAGGAAGCTGCAATTGATTTCCCTAATCATCTTGGTATTAGTCCCAGCAGTCAYACATGCAGCGCTCTAAGTAGCTTCTTGACTCATCAGCAAGGTTGTCTCCGTTGGAACAAACGCAGGTTGCAGCAACGTGGGGCTGCAGCACTTGGAGGCTGAAGATGCCC